CAGCACCCCGCCTTTTCCTGCCTATGCAGGACCTGGCACGCGCCGCCCTCTGTGGTTAAAACTGACTGAGGCCCAGTCACAGCAGCAGCGTCAGTGCCCCTGCCCAAGGCCAGAGCTGAGCACTATTTTTGGAAGAAAATGTTTCCATGAGCTCTGAAGGCACCAGAACCATTTGGTAACTATTTAGACCCATTTTGTGTAGGTGGGTGGATAGAAGTGCTCACTGTGTTCACTATGCATTGACTTCTTCTAGATGTTTCCAGTTTAGATCCTGTTTCTGAAAATACACCCACTTCTTCAGCATTGTTATAAAAACGTACGTCATTAGGAAAGAATTAAAAACATTATCCAGTCACTTAGCTCGAAGCTAAACATTCACTGCACAGTCAGTTTTTGTGTAAGTCAGTATTTAAAAACAAAAAAAAGTGAGGAAAGAAATTAAGAAATACAATTGAAGCAAAACTTGCAGTAAACAGAAAGTTGAAAAAGGCATAAAGTCATGTTTTATAAAGTATCCTCAATTAATTTACTTAATTTAATCTTGTTTTGTGATCAGATCTTTATTTCTTCTTACATCTCGACAGGCGCTCGTTTTACACACTCGAACAATTTTAGCGATTTGATTTTTTTTATAAATTATTTTTCTTCTTAACTATAAACCGAGGACACTATAAAAGAAACAAACTAAAGGTTAAGCAAAAGCATATTAAATTTGAAAAGCTGTCTGTGCCCCGTTCATGAAGTCTGACTAAGTCACTGTGTTATCTGTGCCATGTCTGCTTGTCTCTGTGTATTTAGCAGCACAGGTATATTTGTAGTTTAGCCCGTCTCCCACATGCACACAGTGTTAGACTGTCTGTCTGTTAGTGTATTGTAAGTGTCGTGTCCTGCTGTTGTGGTCAGTAGTTGCCTCCTGAAGGATCAGCTATGTGGACACTTTACATTCCTCAGGTTTTGTTATGTCTGCCCTGCTGCCTCCCACAGTCGCACCGCAGACCGCTACACCTGCACTCACATTTATTTTATCTTCTTATTCACTGGCCTTTCCAACTCAGAGATCATCTCTGGTCCCTGTGGTTATTTTGCCATTTCTGTCTCAACATCTCGTCTCCTGTCAGCCCTCGAAAAGCCGCCCGTGGCTCATTCATCTATCTCTAAGGTGCCTGCTGACCTCCCGTTTGACCTTTTGTTAACCATGTGTCCAAGCCAGCCGCTTACAATTCAGTTATCTGGGTCAGCCCCCACGGAAATGTTTGCCCAGCAGCAGGACTGACGGGGGATCAGTGTCAGCAAGAGGCAATGTGGCCCGATCAGGAAATTAAAACTCAGAGTCACGGGATCCGCTGTAGCCAAAAAATGTAGACATAATATCTGGGTTGTTCATAAGATTGACGTATCACTTTCAGTCATACAGTGATACTCTGATTAGAGGGCTGGGTTTTTCCTCGATGAGGAAACCAAGCAGGTGATTTTTCATGAGCCAATTGTCACTTGTGTTGTTTTATCTTCCTGATTGTTCGTTTCTGTTCGACCGCATTCGATTCAAAATCCTGCTGCTTACCTTCCGAATTATTAACAATATAGCGCCAAGCTACCTCACTGAGCTACTTAGATCACACACCCCTACTAGAGCATTAAGATCATCTTCCCAGTCACTCTTGGTACTGCCGAGATC